TTTTTTTTTTTTTTCCTTTTTTTTTTTTTTTTTTCTTCCAAGAAGTAATCTGCCAGCAGATGCATAAACTATGTTTAATCAGTGCACCCTGATGAAGATACCAGCTGCTTCTTGAAGGAGTCAGGCACATTGACCATTTAATTTTATTTTTTTTTAAATGCTGCAGATTCAGTAGTTGTTAACAAAGAGCGGTAGCTTCAACCAGTTTATGTCCACTTACTAGTACTGCTCAGATTACAAAATGATTGCTTTTAGGAAAGAACTGATGTAATATAGAATACATTAAGGTGTCAAGTAGAAGTGTCTTATATTAACTCTTCTGTGCATGAGTGATAAAATGTTTTCAAGCATTTACATCTTTAAGAAGCTGTGCAGTCGTGCTATTGCCATCTCCAAGTCTGTAAAACCAGTGAATCAGGTGTAGCAGAAATAACTTACAGTACTAGAAGGAGTAATAAACTGAAGGATCAGTATCTGCTGGTGTGCATGTTAGGCATTTTTGACTTTGTTTTTAATCTTGAGTTGGAAAAATAAAAAAGAAGTCTTTGTATAAGATAGTTTTCTTCTGTTGAGATACCTTTATGAAAAAATTGTCATTCATCACAGATACTAAATACAGAAAAACTTTCTAGCTCAAGAACATACAAAAATACTTGGCTTTTAACATCACACTTTTTGCATCTTTCGCTACAGTGTCAACTGATTTTGATTATAAAGTATTTAATACTCTGGAGTGTCAGAGTAAAAAGAAGATTTTCTTTTGTCTGGTTTAAAAAGCCCTCCAAGGCTTTTGCAGTGAAATCGTAAAATGTGTGTCTGATTAACTGGTACTAAGAAACATATGCTTGTTAATGGACCGGTGTTCCACTTACCCTTCCAGTCTTCTCAGTCATGTTTTTAAAACTGTGAAAGCTTTCTAAAATCTTTATTAGTTCTCTGCCCTTGTTATTATGATCAGATTTGGAGTGCTTTTGCTGGGCAATAGCTTCCTTTATGGACACCAGGAATTACTGTGTTGAAAAATCTCATCTGTCGTGGATGCTGAGCTGTTCATAACATCTTAAAACGACTCATGGAAACTGTATTTTATGAGATAGGAAGGCAGTCACTTTCAGAGTGTTTATCCTCCGTAAAAAATATTTCCCATTCAGATGGGAACAAAAGCATAACTGGAGCAATGATGCTGTATCTGCCTGGAAGAATCGGGTAAACAAGGGAACTCAGCTTGAGCCTCCATAGAGCACGCTGCAGGGCTGTAGTTCTTCTGGAAGAACCAAATATATTATAGCACACAGTTTCTGCATTATGGCTTGTCCTCTGATTCCCTTTTCCTGAACTTCAGTATGAATTGTGTGCTCTTGGAGTTCTAACTCCTGAAACAGCTCATATTTAACTTGTAAAATATTTACACTTGCAACCTTTGAAAAAGTTGCTATGAAGCATCCCAATTCTGTGGTTACTTCAGTGGGTTTCTCACAGCAGAGTTTGGGATGAGTGTCCCAAGATTGCAAACCGCTTTGTTTTTTTCTGTTCTGGCCTTCACACTTGTTAATCAGAGACATAGAAGGTGATGCTCTGAGGGTTTTTAAAATACAAGTATTAATAGATGCTAGATGCTCAGTTGAGGCTCAATTAAGAAGTTACAAGTAATATTTGACCTGGGAAAAAGTAGGAACTGTACAAACAAGTACAAGAAACAGCTTCTAAATCTGAGGTAAAGGTGTAAGTCTTTCTTGCTGCTAGTTTTGACAAGTTAATTGACTTTTCTTGATCATTTCTTTATTAGACTCCTGCTTTCAAATGACAGATAGTCTATAGGAAAAGAAACTAAAACAACCACTTTGTTTAACCCAGCAAGGAAGTCCTTGTTGCCTTTTCAATACAAACCTCTAGGAGTTTGAACCCACATAGGCAGAAGAATTACTGAGAACGGAAGAATAGTGCAGCACACGGGAGCAAGCAGATGTTTACTGGTCATACTACATCTGGCTTGGTGTTGTGGAAGATTTCTAGGCAAAACAGCAGTGAAACTGCTGAACAGACTTAGCAGAATAGAGGCAAATTAATTTTCTTAAGAAACAATTTGGTAGGTTTATGAAGGGATTATATGATGGGGTGCCCTGTGGTTTCAGGGCACTGGAATCAAAGGACCAGAGTTCCTAAACTCTGCTCTCTACAGTTATTCTTATATTTTTACTCCTCCACAAGACTTAAGTTGGTTCTGCTTATTTGTTTTATTTTTTTCTTTGTTTGCATTATGATTTGCAGTGAATGTGTGTGTGTGTGTGTTGTCATGCATAGCCTGTATTATAGAAGAAGTTGATGGCAAGAATTGTCCAGAATCTTGCACAGCAGTAGCACTGCAGGGTTGCGGGCATTGACAAGGGTAAGGCAATTTCTTTTGCAAGGGAAAAAGAGTATTAGCCTGTGTTGCAAATTGTCCTGGATCAGGTGTCACTGCACACACTACAGCTCAGATTTCCATGCCCACACACATGCTTTCTTTCTCAGCTAGCTCACTGGTAGCAATAATCGTGGTATGACAATACACTGGATCTAACTATTTGAAAAAAACTTTCTACTGTATTAAAAACACTGTGACACAGAATGAAAGCAGAGTCCTATTGTCATGGCTAATACAAATTTGTTGAAAGTATTTCTTTGGTTAACTTTGTACTGGCAGGCTTAATGCCAGATCAGGTATCATCTTGTTCTCTCCATTCTAATTTTATGCTAGATCAGTTACCCTCTGTTCTCCTGCAGCAGCTGGCATAAAAAACATAAAGGTGGCATGAACTCTGTATCTTTTTGATGTGAAATGCAGTCATGTGCCTGAGGCTAAATCCAGATCAAATTGGCACTGCTAAGCAATCCAGTAGAGCAGAGGTCCTGTGCAGACAGTCATGAGATCTAGGCTTAAGTAGAGTATAATGTAGTGCACAGAAATGGTCCCATCATTGACAGGTGGCAGGGAAGAAGTTTTCTGCTTGTTCCCCTGTGTCTGTGGGTATAGCAGAGACTTGCAGTCTGATCCGTGGTCCTACAGGATTTGCTTGCTCCCTGTTTCCTCCTTGCCCAAGAATTGTTCTGTTTCTTTACGTTCTTGTTCTTAAATCTTTCTGCTAACTGATTTCTTAGGGCCTTGCCTACATGAGAGAAACTTTGCAGACTACTTCAGAGTTTCTCAGCAGTCAGGTCCAGTTTGCCTTGGTTCTGTGATGAGGTTTGATGCTTTGCTCTGGCATGTTTTTGTTGTTTTGTTTCCTTTGCTGCTGCTGTGTAGGATACTTGTTTCTGTTGCAGACAGAAGAACACTTGATGAACAGAGATTGTGGTGAGGAGGATGTTTTTAGTTCTGCATCTACAAGTGAAGGAAGCTTGGATGTAAGTACTAACATGGCTTGTAGATGCTATTGCATTCCTATTAGATCCTGCAGTTTGAATAACCAGAAACCACTGCGATTCCTGATGCTTAGCCAAGTAGAAGTAGAAATAGTTTCCTTCTTAGCAGGCTTAGTTACGTGAGTGCGGAGTTTGCGTATCTTGGTGAAGTTAAAATGCAACGCACTGTCTTCAAATAAAACTTGCTAGCGTCACCATAAATAAAGTTTCTTACAGAGTTAAATTCTAAACTGTTGTGAGCAAAAAGTGTTTTAACCGAGGACATAGGTGTTGTGACTGTAAGACAGTGACAGTACTGCATGATGCAAGAGTATGTTTGCCTTATCAGTGACATTTAGAGGGGACTTCTTTCTTACAAACCCACATCTCTCATTTTTATCACTTTACATGACTTCTGCAGCATGGCAGCATTCCATTAATTTCTTAAGTAGCTTGGGGGTGGAGAGTACTTTATTTTAAACACTGGAAATAACAGAAAGGATTTTTGTTAAGTACTTCAGTAGGTTTTGGGGTGCTAAAATCCTGTGCACCACTTTTAGAAATGTTTTTAAGTGCCTGACAGACTACTAAATTATGAGGATTTACGTGTCTAATTATGAAGTGTGAATACAAAATATTTTTGTAAGGCTGTTCTGTTGGATTAGTAGTCATAATAAATGGTGTGTCTTTTTGTTGCTTTTTTTAAGTACTTGACTTTTTGTTACTGTATTTTCAAAACTTGGGGAAGACTGTTGATGACATGATAGAAGCCTCAAATGTGAGGTACAGCTCTGAATCCCTCTTTCACAAATAGGTATTTGGAAAAGGAGTAAAGGAGTGCTGATCTGCAAAATGTCGCATCTCACTAGCTACAGAGAAGGGTGACAGAAAATTGTGAGGAAAAAATGGATAATATAAAAGAAGTCCATTGGGAGAAATAGAGAAGTGATTGGCTGTGAGGTTAAAAAACCACCTAACTCTGCAAACCTATGAAGACTTCATAATAAAAGAGTACTGAAGTAGTAAAGCTGCTTATGACACCAAAAATTTGGGTAACGCTATAAAGATGAATGTTTTAGTGAGAGAGCTCTATTAATATAAAGTCCTAGTAGAGGGTGATGTGGATAAATGAAATGTACTGGGTAAAAGTATAGGAAAAAATCACAAGCTCTGCCAAAATAAAATCATCTTGTGTTTTGTATTCACTGCTATTATACATTAATCTCAATATCTTGATACCAAAGTACTAGGAGAGGAGGAGGAGGAAGGGGAGGGATTCTAAGTGAGGATATGAAGGTAGTTCAGATACTCTGAACTGCCTTTTACACTAATGTGTGGTGCTTTCCTCAGAAGAGAGACATCTCAATTTATTTTTGTAGGGAATCTTATAGGGCACAAATAATAAATGAAGAATTATTTTTTTTCCTGTGACATTGATGAAAAAATTTTTTCAAAACTGTCTTGGACATGCAACTTTGTCTTCTAAAGGCACAGGTGATAGAGAGCAAAGGGATCTTGAAGTAAAAAATGTTTTGTTTTTATTCAGTTGCATGAACATGTCAGGGGTTTAATTTTTTTTCCCTTTCCTCTTAAGAGCAATTAATCTTCAAGAACAATGTAGCTACTGTTCAGTGTCTTTCACTTCTGGCTTGACACCTGGATTTGTATGAGCACCAATCCTGCAAAGACATAAGTACATACTTAAATGAATGTATTGACATAGTTTCATTTAATTTGGTACTACTCTGTTAAAGCATGCAGATGTATAAAGCAATTCTAACAGATCCACTTGGCAGCACAGAGGGTCCATCCTTTGAACAGGCTAGATGGGCTTCAAGAAAAAGGTCAACAATTGTGACATCTTAGGTGAAAAATTCTATAATACTGTAAACTTGGCATAAATAGTTGGTATAGATAACTTGTATTAATATAAGATAAAATTCAAGTGGAAACACCAATGAAAGCACTTCATAATTTTTAAAACTCAGCTTAGCAGTTCCATATGGGCTAGACTTTGAGACCCTCAGTCATTCTGAGTAATTCTTTATTCCACTTGCTGAAAAGATAGCCTTACTTACTTGCTTCAGTGGAACTGAGTATCCTTATTCAAAATACATGGTATCTTACATAGCCATATATGTGAAATACACATTTAGAGCTCATTATATAGAAGTTTCATTGATCTAAGATAGGACTTTTGGCAAAATGTCATCCAGTAGAGGCTTCCTCTTTTGCAATTTCCTCAGGTCTACTTTCTGTTACTGTTTTGGGTCATCTTGAAAGTATTTTGCATTGTTGTGTGGGGATCAAAGCCAAAGTTTCAGATTTATTTCTGAAAAGAAAATCGTTTGCCATTGCCTTCAGCATAGTGCCAGGAGGTACACTGCCTGGATCAGGAAAATTCTTCTTGCCTATAAAGAAATAGGACATAAGAGGGAAAATTTTGACAATGAGAACAGTCAACCATTGGAATAATCTCCCCAGGGATGTGGTTGACTCCACTACGGTGCACACTTTTAAGACTCAGCTGGACAGGGTGCTGAGCCATCTTGTCTAGACTGCGCTCCTGCCTAGAAAGGTTGGGCCAGATGATCCTTGAGGTCCCTTTCAACATGGTGTTCTATAATTCTGTGAACTCAAGGGCATGAACTTTGGTATCCTTACTTTAAATCTTTTTCTCACCATTATGTGGTGGTGATGTGCACTGAATTGTAGAAAAAGTAATGATTCTATTCTGGGTATTGACTGGGGTTTTTTTGAAAACTGGGCAATATGAAGGAATGAAATAAAGATGTAAGAAATAAAAGATGCTTAGTATTTGTTTAAGCACAAGTTATATTCACTTTTGAACACCAATCCATTCTCAGTGCCATATCTGTCTAATTATTGCTGGAATTATCAATGCTTCTAAAAATACTTCAGATTGTTGATGAGGAAGCAGATTTTCAAAGTCAAGATGGGAAAGTCAACACTTAAACTTGAATGTGAAAGGACATTTGTTCACAGTATATAAAGGCAAAAAAAGAATTGTTAACACCCTAGGTTTACACCTGGTGTAAAATGCAAGAAAAGAATTCCCCATGACAATCCTCAGAGTGCAGCAGTTCATTATACCACACTTGGTAAAAAGGATCTGAAATGTAATGGCGTATTGTAAATGAAACAGAAAACTCTTCTAGTTTTGTGCTAAGCAGATGAGCTTTATATCCGGGTTAACTTTTCACAAATCGAATGTTATTGAAATACACTGGTGTATAAATACAACATACAAATAAAGCGGTTGGAAGTTGCAGCACAGTTCACCATATTCCACTTTTTGTGTGCCAGAGCTGGAATTTAAACAGCTGGGGGAAAAAAGGGGAGTTTAAATCATCTCTGCCACTTGGTGTCGCTGTCCTCAAATAAACAGTTGATCAAGATGAAACCCGATGTTTGGAACGCAGTACTAAAATTAGCTGGTTTTATTTTTGGGGCCTTCGTGCTTTCATAAATCAAGAGCAAAAAAACACATCCCAAGTGCTGAACGACGTGTATCTCTGATGTGGAATTTGTTTATGTAATAAATCAGCTTGGGAAAAAAATATTTAGAAGTACAGCCAGGGACACTTATCAGTGGATTTGAAACTTCAGCACAAAGTCTTATCACATGAGGTTTCTCTAGTTCAAACAGGGCTTCAGCAGAGCAATGTTAGAGGATTTTCATCGGGACCGTTTTTAAAAAATCTACTCTTCAATGTATGTCTGAATATAGGTGTTACTTGTAACAGAATCAGTGAACCTAAATGAAGCAATGTCATTTTAAATTCCAAACAGTTCTCAGATACATTTAGGATACATGTAAAGGGTTTTTTTTTATTTCATAATACCTGTAGAATTGCAAGAACGTGTTCCAGAAGAAAAATACTGTGCGAATGTTTGAAAAATGTCATTGGGACTTCTAGTACATTAGTAACTTGGCAGTCACTTCTTAAGTGATGGGAACAGCTATTTTCTCTATACAGACTTTTAAAAAAAATCTATTATTTACTTTTTCAGGGCCTTTTTTTTTCTTAATGTACTCTTAACTTTTATGCCCTCATTGATGGTAGGAGTTACATCATTCATGGTACGCTTTCCCAATTCAGAAGTGGTTGGAAGAAGGATCAAGTACAGTTATGCAAAAGTGATTGAAATGTAATTTCTCTTTAACCATGTCAGGTTCCAGGTGGTCTGTTAATATCATCTACTGTCAAGGACTTCACCTCACGTGGCTAGGTAGTGTTTAGGGCAGTAGGAATGAGAAAACTGCCCGTGTCATCTAAATGGAAGTTAGCAGCCATCTACCTCTAATATTTCCTTGTGTGACAATCGTATTCACTTTAAATTCCTGTTCTCATGTTCTTGCTTCTTGGTCTCCTGGCAATGCTTAGGGTGGTGTTGGTTACGTGTGGTTATTTGTACCAGCAGGGTCAAATCCTGGGCTAGTTCTGTTGCATTTTATGCAGTTAGAACTATCTATGTATACTGTCAAAGGCATAGGTTGTGATACGGCCTTGAAACAGTTTTGCTCAGTGTAATTTTGTCTGCAGGATGCAAAACTCAACAAACTGAGCATGGAATGTTGTCTGAATACTACAGCAGACTGGTCTGTCCCCACCGGTCTTCTGTTACAGGGTGCCTGTAAGCCAGTAGTTAGATGCCAGAGGATGACACTAGGGAAGATACAATATAGTTATAAATGTTTTCATTTGTGCAACTGTTTACATGGTTAGAAGATTTATTAAATACCAGATATCCCAGGATAAGGTTCACCATCACAGTAGAGTTAGTTTTATTTTTATATCCTGTGATGCTCTCTGAAAAAAAAAAAATAATTTTATTGTTAACTTTCCTTGGTAAGAAGAAAGGTTTGCCAGAGCTAACTGGCTTGTGACTGGCATTCAGGTAGCAAAGATGACAAGGTAACAGTGATCAGCTTGCTTTCTCCTCGTCAACTGGGGCAGGACAAGAAGTAAGGTGCTTTT